GTGCATGTTTTTAAAAAATTAATTGTTTTCCATTTTAGGTGAAGGACAATTTGGTAAAGTTTATTCTGCTGTTAATATGGACAATGGAGAATTAATGGCCATGAAAGAGGTTTGGATAATTTTAAGATTGTTATATTATCATTTAAATACCAACAAGTATTGGATATTGTAAAGATCTTATTATGCTTGCCAAAAGATTGTTTTTAGCTCTACTGGGGTATTCATGCCACATTGACACGACTAGTTTTTAGCTCTACTGGTCAGAGACCAGAAGAGCTTATGCGATAGTAAGGTGTCCGGCGTCCGTCCGTCTGTCTGTCTGTCTGTCTGTCCGTCTGTCTGTAAACAATTTTTCAAAATGCTACTCCTCCTACAGTTTTGGTCTGATTTCAATATAACTCGGCACACAGGTAGACTACACTAAGATACATAATTTAGTGCATCGGTTTTTGATTTCGATAAACGGTGTTGCCATGGTTACTAAAAATAGAAATTTCTGTAAAATTTCTTTAAAATGCTACTCCTCCTACAGTTTTGGACTGATTTCAATATAACTTGTCACACAAGTAGAATGCACTAAGATACATAATTTAGTGCATCGGTTTTTGATTTGGATGAGTGGTGTTGCCATGGTTACTAAAAATAGAAATTTCTGTGAAATTCCTTTAAAATGCTACTCCTCCTACAGTTTTGGTCTGATTTCAATATAACTTGTCACACAAGTAGAATGCACTAAGATACATAATTTAGTGCATCGGTTTTTGATTTGGATGAGTGGTGTTGCCATGGTTACTAAAAATAGAAATTTCTGTGAAATACCTTTAAAACGCTACTCCTCCTACAGTTTTGGTCTGATTTCAATATGATTTGGCATACAAGTAGACTCTATTAAGATTCATAATCTAGTGCATCGGTTTTTGATTTGGATGAACTGTGTTGCCATGGTTACTAAAAATAGAAATTTCTGTGAAATTCCTTTAAAACGCTACTCCTTCTACAGTTTTGGTCCGATTTCAATATGATTTGGCATACAAGTAGACTCTATTAAGATTCATAATTAAGTGCATCGGTTTTTGATTTGGATGAACAGTGTTGCCATGGTTACTAAAAATAGAAATTTCTGTGAAATTCCTTCAAAATGAAATTCCTCCTACAGTTTTGGTCAGGTTTCAGTATAACTTGGCACACAAGTAGACTACACTATGATACATAATTCAGAGCATCAGTTTTTTGATTTGGATGAACGATGTTGCCATGGTTACTAAAAATAGAAATTTCTGTGAATTTCTTTTAAAACGCTACTCCTCCTACAGTTTTTATTTGATTTCAATTTAACTTGGCACACAAGTAGACTATATTAAGATACATAATACTATTTATTGCTGCATGTTGCAAAGTTTCGAATCCAAGTGCTACTTTTTCTTTGTTACATGTATATGTTCAGACCAGTAGAGCTACAGTCTCATCAGAGACTTCTGGTTCTTACAAATTATAGACGTCTGGTAAGAGTTGGCTCAGGATCAAAGAACAAAGTTCACCTATGGCTGTTTTTGCCCTGTGAATTTCTGAAAAAGTAATTAGTTTTAGTTGACAATGCATTAAATATCATTTAGACCCTTGGTGACTGTGTATTTATAAACAATGATGTAATTATCTGTCTAATCAATGTATTATGACATCATAAATTGCATCATTTTACCATATCCTGAAAAATTCTTCAAAAACAGCCAATTTTTAGCTCTACTGGTCAGAGACCAGAAGAGCTATGCGATAGTAAGGTGTCCGTCGTCTGTCCGTCCGTCTGTCTGTCTGTCTGTCCGTCTGTCTGTAAACAATTTTTCAAAACGCTACTCCTCCTACAGTTTGGGTCTGATTTCAATATAAATTGGCACACTAGTAGACTACACTAAGATACATAATTTAGTGCATCGGTTTTTAATTTCGATGGACGGTGTTGCCATGGTTACTAAAAATAGAAATTTCTGAGAAATTCCTTTAAAACGCTACTCCTCCTACAGTTTTGGTCTAATTTCAATATAACTTGGCACACAAGTAGACTACACTAAGATACATAAATTAGTGCATCGGTTTCTGATTTCGATGAATGGTGTTGCCATGGTTACTAAAAATAGAAATTTCTGTGAAATTCCTTTAAAATGCTACTCCTCCTACAGTTTTGGTCTGATTTCATTATTACTTGGCACACAAGTAGACTACACTAAGATACATAATTTAGTGCATCAGTTTTTGATTTCGATGAATGGTGTTGCCATGGTTACTAAAAATAGAAATTTCTGTGAAATTCCTTTAAAACGCTACTCCTCCTACAGTTTTGGTCCGATTTCAGTATAATTTGGCACACAAGTAGACTACACTAAGATACATAATTTAGTACATTGGTTTTTGATTTCGATGACCAGCATTTTCATGGTTACTAAAAATAGAAATTTATGTGAAATTTCTTTAAAAGGCTATTCCTCCTTCAGTTTCGGTCTGATGTTAAAATAACTTGACAAACAAGTAGACTACACTAAGATACATAATTTAGTGCATCGGTTTTTGATTTCGATGAACGGTGTTGCCATGGTTACTAAAAATAGAAATTTCTGTGAAATTTCTTTAAAATGCTACTCCTCCTACAGTTTTGGTCTGATTTCAATATAACTTGGCGCACAAGTAGACTACATTAAGATTCATTATTCTGTTTATTGCTGCGTGTTGCAAAGTTTCAAATCCAAGTGCTACTTTCCTTTGTTATATGTACCAGGGATGGGCACGATTACTGAAAAATGTAATCGATTACTTAGAGGAATTCAGTGTAATCGATTATTAATTGATTACACTCATTTTTGTCCTGTAATCGATTGTAATCGATTACTTTGGAAGATGTAATCGATTAATAATCGATTACCTCCAAGTTTTTATCCCTTCAAATATCAAAGCAATATTTAAATGTTGATGTTATCCACTGAAGTCTGAATGTGTTCCTGCAGTTTCAGTGCAGATTCTTTTAAGGTTTTATTCTGGCTAACATTCTCACTAAATGCCCAAATGTGGGATTCTATACCATGGAAAGTGGAGATATGATTCCTACAATAAAATGTGCCAAAGAATTAATTATTCCTGTCAACCTTGGATCTGAACCTCCATATTTATTGACTTGTTGCAAAAATTATCTTATATTTTATTGTGAATTACTTCATTAGAAGTATTTGGGCTGCCCATATGTTAACAGTACACATTAAACATTCCTGTATGTGTCTTTTTCAAAAAAATAAGTAAATCTGAACTCTTAGTTATAAACATGTAAATTAAATGTGTCTTTAAGTAATTAAACTAATAGCACAATTTCATTCTGTATTGAAATAAGTGTTTTGAGAGCTATTAATTGTTTTAATAATATTGTTTGTCTTCAATGGAATGAAAGTTAAACACTAGGTAGTTCACATTTTACACCTCATTATCTGCAAATCAGGGATGTCTCAGTTAATTAATTAGCCAAGATAAGCAAACACAGTGACTTTCTCCCTCTCTTAAAAATAGACTCTTAATATAACCTCTCACTGACAAAACAACCTTACAATTTTGAATGAAAACATGAGAATGATTTTGCAAATTTTAAAGTTACTAAACACAAGTTTGAAGTTGTTTAAACATTTTCAGATATGAATAAGTATTTCCATCTTCTTCTTTTTTCGAGTACAATGTAGTTTATTTACCAAATTATTTATATTTAATACAGCACTTAAATCTGTTTTTGCTATTTATAATTTCCTATTACAACGAAGACAAAGTTTTTCAACATCTGAAATATGAAAAAGGACATGCAGCAAGAGGACAGTGGGTCAAATGTAAAATGCACACAAAAAATCTGTATATTTTATTTATAATTTTGTTGAAATACACTTCTGAATTATTTGATACTAGACCAGTAGGTCTGTAATGCAAATTTTATTGAGAACATTATTAAACTTCTGATAATAAAAGTTAGGAAATCCAAACATTACACTAGGTGGTTTATATTTGATATTTATGTGTGACTGACTGTAAATAATTCTCCAAAATAACATCCATTTATGTATAAAACAATCGAAAGTAATCGAAAAAGTAATTATAATTACATTGAAAATTTTAGCTGTAATCGATTAAATTACGATAACAAGTAATTGAAAATCTCTTCGATTACAGATTACTGTCGATTACTTGGAAAAAAGTAATCATTACAATCGATTACGATTATTCGATTACAATTACCCCATCCCTGATATGTACAGACCAGTAGAGCTACAGTCTCATCAGAGACTTCTGGTTAAAACTATTTTTCAATATTACATATAGAGTGCAACTTCTGATAGAAAATATGCAATTATCGTATTGTCACATGTTAAGACCGCACTCTTGTAATAGATGCATCCCCAAAGTTAGGGAGAAAAAATGCAGTTCCTATAGATAAAACACACCCCCAAAAATGCAAATATGGATGTATCTTTTATTTTCATACCACAACTAATTCAAAGCAAAGGTTTAAAAAGTTAAAATATTTGTGTCATTTCGAAAAAGAAAGTAGGATACAACTTTTAAATTTTTTGGCAAATTCAGTTTACATATAAGCTTTATTTACATATATTTAACTTTAGTTTGTATTTTAATTGTTATTTTGTTGGTATGAATTTAAAGCTAAGTCCCTAATTTTTTTTTTCTGTAACCCCAAGCATGTTCCGATATTGTGCTGACAATGCATTCCAAGCACACGTCTGTGTTTACGTAAACAATGAAATATGAAGATAACGAACAGTATTCAATCTTAAAAGTCTAATGAAATGATACAAATTTGGAGCAGAGCAAACACGGACCTGAAAAATTAGAGGTGGGATCAGGTGCCATGAAGGAGTAAGCATCCCCTGTCCACCTGTCACACCCGCCGTGTGCTCCTTGTCATGATCGGGAAACAAAAACCGGAGAAATCGGTAGACAGTTCAATGTATAAATAATGACCTAACAATTAGTATGAAAAACATCAGTCAGCATTTAAATGACTCAATGATAGGTTGTATGTGCTGACAAGGTCATTGTATCGACTGAAAAACTTGCGAAAACATGACTTCAAATGAGACTGTTGATATCTTTGTTTCATCAATTTGTTTGTCAGTAGCTTGCCTTGTTTTAGAAATTGTTCATACGTTGAGCATGCTCTTGCGTATCGAATCAAGTGGGAGACATAAACCCCATATGCAGGGTATAAGGGTATATTGCTACATAAGTAAGGGAAGTTGACGATTGAAAAGTTGAAGTCATCACGTTTATCATAAAGCTTGGTTGTTAGGTTACCATTAACATTTTTTTCCAGTAAAATATCTAAATATGAAACAGATGTGTCAGAATCTGTGGTATCCCAAGCGTAATTAGTGTCACACTTATGTATGTAAGTAATACCAAGTAATTAGAAAGGTGTTTTAAACATTTATTGTTAAATAAACTTTACTGATTACGAAGGTGTTATTTAAAATGGCAGTTGTTTTGAAACCAACTGGCCGAAAATTGTTATATAAACAAATATTACCTACATTAGGGTCGAGCGGAGTTAAATTTTGCAGTGATGATATACAAGTTAGGAAAAAGAAAAGTAGGGTTTTTTATGATCTACATGTATGTCATACGTGACTGTCATTCAAGAACTGGGGCATACATAATAAACTTGCAATGTGATAACAGTGAAAATCACTCCTAAGAGTTAAGAAAAACGTCCAGAAAAAGGGGGTTGAATGTAGTTCCTATGTTATGCACACACCCTTACTTTTGAACAATTTTCTGACCAAAAAAGTGCATCCAATACATGTGACTTTACTGTATTTAATAATAGAACTCTTTCTGAAGATTACAAAACATGTTTTATTTTTTGGATCAAGGGATGTGTTCATATTTTTAGCTCACCTGAGCTGAAAGCTCAAGTGAGCTTTTCTGATCACCCGTTTTCTGTCCATCTGTCCATCCATCTGTAAACTTTCACATTTTCAACTTCTTCTCAAGAACCACTGTTCCAATTTTAACCAAACTTGGTACAAATTTCCTTGGGTAAAGGGGAGTTTAAATTGTTAAAATAAAGGCCCAAGTCCCCTTACAAGGGGAGATAATCAAGATAAGACAAAAATAGGGTGGGGTCATTAAAAAATCTTCTCCAGAACCACTGAGCCAGAAAAACTGAAACTTATGTGGAAGCATCCTGGGGTAGTAAAGATTCTAAATTGTTCAAATCATGACCCCCAGGGGTAGGGCGGGGCCTCAATAGGGAATCCAAGTTTTACATTGAAATATTATAGAAAAATCTTTAAAAATCTTCTTCTCAAGAACCACTGGGCCAGAAAAGCTAAAACTAATGTGGAAGAATCCTCAAGTAGTGTAGATTCTAAAGTGTTCAAATCATGACCCCCGGGGGTCGGGCGGAGCCACAATAGGGAATCCAAGTTTTACATTGAAATATATATAGGAAATATATAGGAAAAATCTCTAAAAATCTTCTTCTCAAGAACCACTGGGCCAGAAAAGCTGAAACTTATGTGGAAGCATCCTGGGGTAGTAAAGATTCTAAATTGGTCAAATCATGACCCCCTGGGGTAGGGCGGGGCTACAATAGGGAAACTAATGTGGAAGCATCCTCAAGTAATGTAGATTCTAAATTGTTAAATTCATGACCCTCAAGGGTAGGGCGGGGCCACAATAGGGAATCCAAGTTTTATATCGAAGTATATAGGAAAAATCTTTAAAAATCTTCTTCTCAAGAACCACTGGGCCAGAAAAGCTGAAACTTATGTGGAAGCATCCTGGGGTAGTTTAGATTCTAAATTGTTCAAATCATGACCCTGGGCCACAATAGGTACTCACTATTACAAGTGGGGAAATCTGATTAAGAACAGCATGGCCAAACTTACTCAGGTGAGCGATGTGGCCCATGGGTCTCTTGTTATTCTTTACTGAAAGTACTCAAATAAACCTGTTTTCTTTAAAATTCAAGAACATTGCAATTTCACAGAACTTGTTTTCCAATACCTAGGCTTTCAGAGGAAACTATTTAAAAGCAAATGAAAACACTAAACCTCTACTTTATCTTGATGTTTGAAATGGAACATAGAGTGTTTGTCAATAAATTGGAATATCTACAGGGCCATTTTAAGCACAAAATGAACTTATAGCTCTTTTACATAATGCATATGTATGGATTCAGAGATCCCTTAAGGTTGGGCCATAATATTGGTCACAATTTTTCATGAGAATTAAATATAAAAATCTTTTTTAAAATCTTCTAAAGAACAGCAAAGCAAAAGTTACTCAGGTGAGCATTGTGGTCCATGGGCCTCTTGTTCTATATTATTTATGACTAAATTTCAGATGAAGTTTCAAGCCAATGATCATCAAGCATTAAAAGAATTAGCAGATGAAATCATTTTGTTTGAAGGCATACAACACCCAAATCTTGTGAAATACTATGGAGTTGAAGTTCACAGGGTATGTTTCTTTTTTTATATCAAGAGCATTAAAGTGCTTGTGAATTTTCAAGTGTCCATTGTATCTCTGTCTTTTTTGGCACAGTCAGCAATTTTCATCTGCTCATATCTGACAGATTTGTTGTGATATATGGAATATGCAGTAAAACTCGGTTATAGAAAAGTCCTGAGGACCTGTGAATTTACTTCGCTATATCCGTAATAAGTTGTATACGTATAACAAATTTGTTAAAGTATATATAATGAATTAGCAATATGAATTTTTCCCCCTCAAGTATGACAACCAAATATATCACAAGAGGTATTAAATACAAAATTTTCCTTGGATTACTAAAGATTTCTGATGAATTTCAAACAAAAATTATCGTTGAAAAATAACGTGAGTTTAGTATTTTGAATTTTAATTAAGATACTAAAAATTTGTTATAAAAGATGTTATTTTCATTCCTTATCATCTATAAGGGACACAAAATCAGTGTGCTATATCCGTATATTCGTTATATCAGAGTTCATTGTAATCATAATATTTTCCTAGGATTTGTTAAGAATTTTGTCAGAGATTCCAAAGAACTTTGCTATATCTGTGAATTCACTATATCCATGTTTGTAATAAATGAGTTTTACTGAACTTTGTTTAAAAATCTTTAAAAATCTCTTTCTCAAGAACAACAAAGCCATGATCAGTCATACAGATATAGAAGCATCCTAAGGTAATGTAGATTCAAAGGACTGTATTCGGAAATGACCAATACTTGCCCCCAAAATCAAACTTTGACAGAGAAATATATAATTATGTTTTAAAACGGGGATATCTGAAGACTTCAAAGCATTAAGTACACTCAATATTTTGTGTAAAAATCACCGAGCATAGGTCTGCTCCAACTAGATGTTTCAATACAATGTGTAGAATTAATACCAATGAATTGTTATGGAGCAAGTTTGAAAAATTGAATAAATCTTGTCTTTTGTCCTCTTTCTGAAAAATGACACAAAATCTACATAGTTTGTGACATCCTATAAACAAAAATAGCCAATATCCTACTTAGAATCTAGTATTTTTTGTTCATTCAGATTTTTCAATATACAGAATTTAGCACATCAATAAATTTTCAAAATATTATTTTTTTTGGGGCAAAAATATCCATATACCACATATAGCTCTTTGTTCAAATCATGACCTCCCCTGCCCCCCACCTCCTCAGGAGGAGGGAAGGGTCACAAAATGGGGGATCAAAGTTTTACAAAGAATTGTAAAGAAATATCAATCAAAATTTTCTTCTTAAGATCAGCAAAGCCATGATTAGTCATATTAATTCAGGAGCGTCCTCAGGTAGTGTAGATTCAAGTGTGTTCAAATCATGCCTAAGGGTTTAGGGCAAGGCCACAATATAAGATAACATGCAGGAAAAAATTTACTAAAGCCATGATTATGAAAAATGGAACTCAGGTATACAAGCAATCATCAAGTGCAGAATCAAGGAAAGACAGTTCTCGTACTATATTGTAATAATTGTTTTTCAATCTTCCCAAAAAGATTAATCATGAAATTCAATGTCCTTTCATGTAGTGTGAATTCAAGTTTATCTAAATCATTGTCATTTGACCTTTCAGGCTTATGGGCCTCATATATATTACGGTATATACAAGCTTACATGTACACTGAGTGGCCAAAATTATTGCAACAAACATGGCTGATGTCATCATGTCGTAATATGGAATGCATGAGAAAAAACAATTTCAAATAAAACTAGTATTAATTGTAACGGGGACCGTTACAGATGTTCCCCAAACGCTCCCCAACTTCCTTTTGGTGTCTTATTCCCTGTAAGCTTCATTAAAAAAGGCAATCAAGTATATTGGTTTTTTTACGCATTACACGCGGGCGCACGGGCATGCATGTAAAAAAATGACCATGTCAACTTGTCTACACTTTTAATACATCTTTATATTCAAATTTCATCAAAAGATAAAAAAAATTCGGCTATATTAAGTATATCTGTCATTTTACGCATTGCAAGCGCGCGCACGTGTATGCATGTCCATGATGACCGTGTCATCTTGTCAACACTTATTAATATATCTACATATTTGAGTATCAAAGCATTTCATCAAAAAGTGTAAAATTTACAGCTATATCAAGTAAATTGGTCATTTTAGCATTGCATGCGCGCGCATGTGCATGTTGACAATGTCGTCTTGTCTACATTTATAAAGGGTCTATATATTCTGAGTATCAAAGCATTACATCAAAAAATGTAAAAGTTATGGTTATATCAAGTATATTGGTCATTTTACTCATTGCACGCGTACGCACGTGCATGCATGTGCATGCCGACCATGTCATCTTGTCTACACATTAATATATCCTTATATTCTGAGTATTAAAGTATTTCATCAAAAGATATGAAAGTTTTGGCTATATCAAGTATATTGGTCATTCTACTCATTGCACGCGCACGCACGTGCTTGCAAGTGCATGCATGTGTGCGCTGATCATGTCATCTTGTGTACACTTCTAATATATATTTATATTCTGAGTTTCAAAGCAATTCATCAAATAATGTACAAGTTAAGTCTATATCATTTGCATTGTTTATTTCAATCATTGCGCATGCGCACACGTGTATGCATGTGCATTCTGACCATGTTATCTTGTCTACACTTTTAATATATCCTGATATCCAAAGTATCAAAGCATTTCATCAAAGGATATGAAAGTTATAGCTATATCAAGTATATCTGTCATTTTACTCATTGCACGTGCACGCACGTGCATGCATGTGTGCGCTGATCAAGTCTTCTTGTGTACACTTCTAATATATATTTATATTCTGAGTTTCAAAGCAATTCATCAAAAAATGTACAAGTTTCGTCTATATCATTTGCATTGGTTACTTCAATCATTGCGCATGCGCGCACGTGCATGCATGCGCATTCTGACCATGTCATCTTGTCTACACTATTAATACATCCTTATATTCTGAGTATCAAAGCATTTCATCAAAAAATATAAAAGTTACAGCTATAACAAGTATATAGGTCATTTTACGCATTGCACGCGCACGCACGTGCATGCGCGTGCGCGCAAAATGACCTTCGTTCCGCAAATCTACATAACATTCCTATTAACCCTAAAAAGGTTTCACCTCAATCGGATGTGTAGTTTCGGAGATCACTCACGGACAAAAAAGTACCCAGGAAGAAAAATAATAATAATAATAATAATAAGAAACAGAGTAAAAACAATATGTTCCCAAACTTCGTTTGGGGAACATAATAAGTTATTTACTAGCAATATTCCTTTAGTATTTTGTTGCATAGCCTTTTTGGATAATAACCTGTCATAGTCTGGAAGGAATTGACGCATACAGGCTGTCAGATTCTAGTGACTGCAGCCACCAATTTGTTCTTGTTTTGAATGTTGTCAATTTCACGGGATAGTTTGATTTTGATACAACGCCAGCCATTTTTTATTATATTAAGGTCTGGGGACTGAGCTGGCCAGCTAAAGAGCTAAATTCACCTTATGCATAAAATAGCCCTGTCATTATATCAATTAATTGATTATCACCCTCTGATTGTCAGCGATTTGTTTTAAGGATTTGATAAAGTTTCAGATCCCTCCTCTCATCTGTCACTTCTGTCACTCGTGGCCTTCCACTTCGGGGGTTGTTTTCTACACTTCCCTTCTGATGAAATTTTAACCAAAACTCAACCCACAGTACTGTGATAAATTCCCAATGCCTCACTTATTTTTTTGTTGTTAAACAGGTCGAGGAAACTATTTTTTGTGACGTCAGAATAAATTTACATGCCAAATGAGGCACCAACATGACTGACAAATCGACCATTCAGCTGAATGAGTCGAACTGCATCATGGGTTACTACAAAAAAAATACTATTTTTAGAAAAGGCTAGTTTTTCTAATCGCTCTTGGAAAGACATGATGCATTTTTTCAAGCACTTTACACACTTAAAACAATATGTACCTCATTATCTACTAATTCCATGCTCACATTTACAAACAATTGTTTTACAACGGTAAAATTTGGGTATTCTCCACTCCATTGTATAAGTCATTTGTGGACAATTGCCTGTCTTCCTGTCCTGTACCATGTGCTGTCAGTAAATACAATTTTCACGTATATTCCATCGTCCAAAACAATCTACTCTGAGGTCTACTCACGTAATGTCATGTATAAATGACCTCTGATGGCCATTTAAAGTTTGATATGGTTTAGAGATGCTTTGTTTACTACGTATACTACTCTGATAAATAAGCTACTATGACCAAGGTACATGTCATGCAGCAATAAACTGCATTAACTTTTAATTTCTAGTCAACAAATTACAAAGCTACGATGAACTAGTATTAATTGTAACGGGGACCGTTACAGATGTTCCCCAAACGCCCCCCAACTTCCTTTTGGTGTCATTCCCTGTAAGCTTCATTAAATAAGGCAATCAAGTAATATTGGGTTTTTTTACGCATTACACGCGCGCGCACGGGCATGCATGTACAAAATGACCATGTCAACTTGTCTACACTTTTAATACATCTTTATATTCAAATTTCATCAAAAGATAAAAAAAATCGGCTATATTAAGTACATCTGTCATTTTACGCATTGCACGCGCGCGCACGTGCATGCATGTCCATAATGACCGTGTCATCTTATCAACACTATGAATATATCTACATATTTTGAGTATCAAAACATTTCATCAGAAAGTATGAAAGTTACAGCTATGTCAAGTATATTGGTCATTTTAGCATTGCATGCGCGCGCACGTGCATGCATCTGCATGTTGACAATGACGTCTTGTCTACATTTATAATATGTCTATATATTCTGAGTATCAAAGCATTACATCAAAAAATGTAAAAGTTATGGTTATATCAATTATATTGGTAATTTAACTCATTGCACGCTTACGCACGTGCATGCATTTGTGCGCTGACCATGTCATCTTGTCTACACTTCTAATATATCTTTATAT